AGTTATTAAATTTTTCGATTATTACCGGAACATTACCTTACGCAACCTTATTCCGTCAAACTAGTGCCTGAAGGCCGATAAGGTACTTTTTTTCCACGAGAACGGTTATCGATATTTCACTTAAGAAAATGGCGGCCCCCAGGCCAGGCTAAACCTTTCAGGTCGAAAGTCAAAATTTAAAAGGGACGAAGAATAGGACAAGGTGAACAAGCAGAGCTTCCCTTTAAAAAATAGCCAAGGGAAAGTGTTGGTACCCAACTGGTACTTGAAATTTAAAGGAAAAGCGTGCCCTCTTGGTTAATAATTGCTATTATATTAATAGCGGCAGAAAACTTCTTTTAATAATGGCATTCACCAGACGGTCAACATTCAAGGCCACAATTTAATCTATAAAACAATATATGAAATAAAAAGGAACAGTTATAAACAGTAGCATTTCACATGCTACAAACAGGTTATAAACAGTAGCATTTCACATGCTACAAACAGTTGCTCGGAGATTTGTAAAAATTGCTGCGGCGTTTAATGACAAACATGTTTTGGACGTTGAGTCCTCGGAAATTTATATTTTTCGGTTCAGAAGTTATTGCAGGTATTCAATGCAGTCAGTCTTGACCATTGCTGTCTGGTTCTAATAAAGGTATTATGACAATGTTTTTGTTATCTACCCCAGTTCCTTCTAACAAGTCGATCATCTTCTGTTTAACCTTGCTGATCGACGATCTTTTGGTGTATAGGTCTATGAAATACAATGAACATCTTTGAAGCGTTGCTCATGAAGTCGGTGTTCGAACGTTTACTTAATAATTAAGTATTAGATATAGCGATAAACGTCGATTTTAACCAATCAGTGTCCGTCTGAAGTAGTTTTAGAATCTCAAACGTTACCTATCTCGACAGGTTCGACTGCCTTTCGGTTCTTCGCTGTTTCGATCGCTTTTTCTACTTCTTCTTTTAGTATTGGTGGGCTGGAGTTTTCAGCTACGTATGATTTCCCAATACACATTTTTCGCAACTTATAGTAACATCAAGTTTTATACTGGTTATATAAAGGTAATAGAAGTATATACGAAAGTTTCGTGGTTTTATAATCCGTACCTTTTGGTGATGTATTTATATAACGGTTTTATATGATTACTGTAAGTAACAAGTATATATTAAGATGATATAACTGTTTCCATCACCATTTTATTAAACTTTAAGTAACCGTTACCAATGTGTTTATAAAAAAATTATATAAGATTTGCCATTACCTTATCTACATAAATAAAATACCCGTAGTTATATAGAAGTGTGATTATTCACCCTTATAAAAACTGATAAATTGTAGTAATGGTCTAACTTTGTTGTAAAACTCTTGGTAATATTAATTATATCAGATTTCTCCTATAAAACTTCACAAACTTTAGTGAACAATGCCTGTGGGCTTAACATCATAACCTTATTTTTTAGTTTATAAAATTGCCGTCTTCACTCTTCCGCCTTCCTCTAGTGAACAAATATATTGTAACACAAGTTTGTTTTTACTTATTATTATTCATCATGGATTATTAAAAAAAAAAAAAACAAAGCTCTTCGTTCCGCCGCAAAGTTAAAAAAAAAACTTTAATAGAATTTTTAATTTTTCGGTTTTCGCAACCTTTATAAATGCCCCGTTTAAGCTCTTTAGGGGGTTCATAAGAGTAACAGAAAGGTTTCTGTTACCAAATATACAACTGTAGGTTATTTAAGATAGGTGATATAACATTTAAGGTGACTATTATACAAACAAAAATATTTATTGGGTTATATTCTCGCTCATCTGTAGAAATATTTTTCACATATTACTTCCAGGCTGCTTTGGTTGAATAGCTTATCAGCTGATCATTGCGTTTTTTGTATATTCGACAGTAGTGGGACTTTCTGATACCCGCAATTATTCTTGTCGTAGGCTATATCTTAATTTATACCTATCATCGCTTCCAGTTGAAAAATTATCCAGCATCGATACATTCCTGATGGTGTGTATATTTACAATGATTATTAAAGTTTTTTCTTTTTCACGAATGGGTTGCTATGATTCCTCATGGAAATCGAAAACGTCACTCTTGTGTTCTATCTTATCTTGGCTTTCCCAGGTCCATAGGGGGGGTTTATTTGAAACGTGCAATTCAAATACGTCTGACTAAGTCGCAATTTCAAGCGGTGAAAATCAAAAAAATGCACATGTGGCTTATTTGAAACTTTCGTCGACGCATTTCGCTAAATTCTTCGACGCAAGATTGCATTTGACATGCGTCACCTCTAGAGCTCGTGCATTTCTAAATTCCACGCGAAACTTTCTCAAAAATTTCAGTTTAGTCGACAAAAAATGTTCTTGGCCTCACGGAATTCGAAAATATTTTAAATTTAAATGCTCTAGAAAGGGCCGAATTGTATAACCATAACTGCAAAGGCTTAAGAAATTCAAGAATAGATGAATGCATTACCTAACAATGGTAATGGTATAGGTAATGACGGGGAATTTATAAAAAACTTTCGACTTTCAAAAGAATGTTTCGAGATTCCTTCCATCAAAAGGAGTCCAAAATTTTTCCGACAGAGCCGGATATTTGTTCGAAAATTCGACCAAGAGTTCGTTTTGTTTTTTTGGTAACAAATCCGAATCTTCTCTTATTGGCACTTGCCCCCGCACTTTTCATGCTTTTTGCGGTATTGCCTTACACTTATGGAAAGATTAAAATAAGATAATCAAAAGAAAAAACGAAAAAACTCCAACTATAAACACGAAACTTTATGAACGGAAACAATCAACAAAGTTGTTTTCTTACAGCCGTGCGGTAAAAGCAATTTTCCGCACTGATATCCGTGCGGAAAATGAGTTTTCCCGCACGGTGCGGTAAAACTTTCACCGCACGCATATCAGTGCGGAAAAGGTTTTTTTTTCGCACGGCTGTCAATGCGGAAAAAATTTTACCGCACGGCTGTCAAAAAACAATTCTACATTTTTACGCCTGTAGGAAAAATATTGTACTTACCTAACACTTGCGGAAAAATTCATTTTCCGCACTTGTTAGGTAAATAGCTATTACGTTAAACAATTTCAAATTTGACATGTCAATGCGTCGTTCCATAGAGCGTCATTCCGTTTGGTCATATGAAATTTTCTGACAATGTCATTGGTTAGAATCTTTTACAGGACACGTCGTTGCCAAGGGGGGTTTATTTGAAACGTGCAATTCAAATACGTCTGACTAAGTCGCAATTTTTAACGGTGAAATACAAAAAAATGCACATTTGGTTTATTTGCAACTTTCGTCGATGTATTTCGCTAAATTCGTCGACGCAAAATGGCATTTGACATGCGTCACCTCTAGAGCTCGTGCATTTCCAAATTGTACGCGAAAGTTTATTAAAAATTCAAGTTTAGTCGATCAAGAATATTCTTGGCCTCATGGAATTCGAAAATATTGTTGATTTAAATGCTCTAGAAAGGGCTGAATTGTATAACCATAACCGCAAAGGCTTCAGAAATCCAAGAATAGATGCATGCATTAACAATGCTCAGGTAATGACGGGGAATTCATAGAAAACTTTCGATATTCGAATGTTTCGAGATTTCTTCCATGAAAAGCAGTTCGAAAATTTTCCCGACCAAAGAGCCGGATATTTGTGCAAAAATTCGACCAAGAGTTCTTTTTGTTGTTTGGCAACAAATCCGGACCTTCTCTTATTGGCACTTGCCCCCGCACTTTCCATATAAATAAACTAAGGTAATATCAAAACAAAAAAAAAAAAAAACGAAAAACTCCAACTAAACACGAAACTGTATGCATGGAAATAATCAAAGAAGTTGTTTACGTTCATTTTACGTTAAACAATTTCAAATTTGACATTCCAATGTATCGTTCCGCTTGGTCATATGAAATTTTCTAACGTCATTGGTTAGAATCTTTTACAGGACACGTTGCCAAGTTGAGTAGTGCAAATTTGAAAATTCACGATTTACAAAATGCACAAGCTTTCAAATAAGCCGATTATGACTTTTCAGAATTCGTCGACGCACATATTTCGACCGACTGAGTCGCATGTGAAAGATTTGCACGGATTTCAAATAAACCCCCCCAAGTTGAGTAGTGCAAATTTAAAAATTCACGATTTACAAAATGCACAAGATTTCAAATAAGCTGATCGTGAATTTTTATAATTCGTCGACGCATATATTTATTTCGACCGACTGAGTCGCATGTGAAATATTTGCACGGATTTCAAATAAACCCCCTCACACTCTCAATTAACTTTTTCATGGAAAAAAATATGCAGGGAAAACACAAGGTTCTGTAGTAGGAGCATTTGAATAAAGTTACTGGATGTATTCATTTATTTCTACGTTTTAATTACACAAATTACGCTCTACCAGTTCGGTTCAGAAACCTCCGAATTTACGGAAAAAGTTACAATTTTTAATGAGATAATTTGTATTCGTAAAGTTACACTCGGCATATTCTGAAGTGCAACGCCAGAACTCGGTAATTAGCTAGCGAAGGAATTTATTAAGTATTATATCCTACTAGGCACATTCGCAGAATACTTAAATAAAGTTCAACAACTTTATTGCTGTGTGATAACTTTTTTGGTCAATTATTATTTGCATTCACTGTATATGCAAATTTAATTTACAGATAAACCTATTAGTAATAATTACAAATTTGCATACGTTACGGGTATAAATACGTGAACCACTATAGACGACTAGAATAGTATAAACATTTAGTCAAAATGCGCTCTATCTTCTTCATAACAATATTTATATGTTATTATTTTGGATTTGTCCTATGTCATTCAGATATTGGTAGACCATGTCCACAAATTTTTTGTTACGTATGCCCTAAATGTGCTGAAAATGAAACTTTAGTAAAAAGTCCCTGTAATAATTGCTGTCTAGACAAATGTGTTCCAAAAGGAAAACGTAAGTATTTACACATATTATTATTTTAAAATTGTTCAATTTACTTTTCCAGCGATAGATTGTCCTAAAATTGCTTGTAAAAAATGTCCAACTTGTGCCGAAAATGAAACGCTTATCAAAAGCCTGTGTGATAATTGTTGCTTGGATCGTTGTATTCCAAGTATGTATTCTTCTGCTTAAGTTTGCATAATTCTAATTGTTTGTACGTTATTAGCTCCTCCAAGATGTCCAAAAATAGGTTGCGAAAAGTGCGTTAAATGTTCCAAAAATGAAACTTTAGTAAAAAGTCCTTGTAATAATTGTTGCTTGGATAGATGCATCCCAAAAAGTAAGTATAATATATTATGTAATTACAAAAAATCAAAAATAATGTTCAATAGTTTCGCGGTAAAATGCACATCTTATCAATTTTTCTACAAGCCTGAGGAAAATCCGATTTCTGTTTCCGACTTGTTCTACGTGTCGTGAATACTCGATTTCGAACATCGATATTTTCTTTTAAATTTTATGTAGTCTTGAGTTCTGCATTTTGTGCTCAAGGTTTTAGGAATGTTCTCTGAGTAACTTGGCATTACATTTTCTGATACCTTTCTATAGCAGTAACTGGCTGTGAACTTTTATGTATTTCCATATTGATTTGGCTGGGAATAGATTTGCTGCATTATTTGCTGTGCCAGAAACCTTTTCACTATCACTTAATTGAAACTCCATTGATAAAAAATATCGGAAAATGATAGTTGAATGATGTCATGATGATTGGCAAGGATTTCGACACACGTCTCTCGAACCCGTTGCTTCGCAGGGCAACTGCTCTCATACGTTGTAAATATGAGATAATTCATTTCGTTAGAATAGAATTCTAGTTCGTGTTCGGGGTTTGCTAGTCCCCCATCGGGCGCCTCCCCAAGTAGCGGATGGTGGCGGACCCAGGCTAGCATGTGGCCAGGTGGCGAACCAAAACTAGCATGATAAAGGGTAGCAGAAATCATCATTACCAACTCATGAAAATAAGGAAATTATTCTAAAATTGACTCAATCACTGGAATTCCACAGGCAAAGCTGAAGTCGCTAGAGAGCTGTGGTACTGCGACGCGGAAAGCAGATGGGATACTACCGCATTATTCTGGACGTCTTTTCGTCCAAAATACTTTATCATGTCAGGAAACAAAAACAGTTTGGCCCTCAGTCCCGGGCAGATGTAAGATCATCAGAGGGTGCTAAGAATCCCCCGGCTTGACATGAGAAAGGTTAATAACCGAATATGTACATTGAACGTAAGGTCTCTTTTTGGTATTGGCAAACTTGATAATGCCATGAAGGAAATGCAACGACTCAATATCAACATCCTCCGAACTGGCGAAAGTAGATGACCCAATAGTGGAATGTGTGATAAGCAGGGAATAATTAACTTACTACTACTCTGGAAATTCAGACCAAACCCACTTAAACGGAGTAGGATTTCTAATTACTGAAAAAATAAAGAAATCCTTGCGAAATGTTGTTGCCTGATCAGACAGAATCATCCTCTTACAAGTACATGCGAAACCCACTAATCTTGATCTTGTTCAGGTATACGCCCCCACAGCAGAAAAGCCAGAGGCAGAAATAGAGACATTTTACGAACAATTCCATGAAGTTCTAAGCTTGCTAAAGTCTGACGAAATAACCATCGTAATGGGTGTCCTCAATGCGAAAGTGGGAGAAGAAAGAGTGGATGGTGTGATGGGTGATTTTGGTCTTGGCGAGGAAAACGAACAAGATAATCTGCTTATTCAGTTCTGGAAAGAGGAAAAATTGGTTATTAAAAATACCTCCTATAAACTACCTCCCAGACGATTATATACATGGCGATCCCCACAAGACAATCACGACCACATAGTCAGAAATCAGATTGACTATATTCTGATAAACCACAGATACCAGAAGAGTATCACGCGTGTGGCCGCATATCCGGGAGCTGTAATTGTATCTGACCATAACCCTATAATAGCCAATTTCAAACTCAACCTTAAAATAACAAGGAAAAGAAAAGCCCCTCGAAAATACGATGTTCAGAAGCTTAACATGACAGACATTAAGGAGAATATGAGACTGGAACTGAACCGACTATGCAATGCCAATGACCCAAGAAGCAAAGACGACCTTGAAGACATTTGGAACAACGTTAAAGAAAACCTTCAAGATGCCTGTGACACAGTCCTAGGCTAGCAGCAACGCGTCAAGATTAGACCGTGGATGACGGATGAAATTCTAGATATAATGGCAGAACGGCGACGTGCAAAACTATCTCAAGAGTCTGAAAGGTATACCGAAGTACATCGGAAAATAAAACGAATATGTAAAGAAGCCAGAGAACAATGGATCATTGCAGAATGTGAGGAGGCTGAGAGACTCCATGAGCTTTATGACTCAGTCAACTTTCATCGAAAGATAAAGCAATTATCTGGCTCTATCATCAATCCCATCTCTCAGAAATGAAAATAGAGAACTCATCCTTAATCCAGATGACCTGCGCAATGAATGGAAACAGTACGCGGAAACGCTTTTCCATGATCAGCGCAGCTCGCAAGACCTCTTCAGCTCAACAGAACAACTAACTGGGACAGACATACTGGAGAGTGAAGTTCGACAAGCTATTAGGAACATGAAAAATCGAAGAAGCCCTGATCATGACAATGTACCTACATGCTGAGGTTCTGAAGACGCTAGATACAAAAATCCTGACATATCTATTATCTATGCAGCAAAATCTATGAGACAGGTAAAATTCCATCAGATTGGCTCGTATACCCTTGTACCCAGTACTCTTTTCTATGAAACTACTTGTCCAGAAATGTTATGATCAGAGACGAGAAGTGTTTATTTGTTTTATAGACTATCAAAAAGCTATTGATAACATTAGGCACGATTTTCTTTTAGCAAGGTTGCAAGAGATTGGCATGGATTCTAGAGATATCCGTATGATCCAACATCTTTATCAGGGATGCATCCTGTCACCAATTTTATTTAATATTTATGTGGAAAAGATATTTGAGCTGGCTTTTCAAGAAGATAATAGAGGAATTAAAGTCAACGGAATTCCGATTAATAATATTAAATATGCAGATGATACTGCTCTACTAGCGCATTCACCTGAAGACTTTCAACAGCTTGTAGACAGAGTAAACCAAGTAGGTAAACAGTTTGGACTGACAATCAACTCATCTAAAACGAAAGTTATGGCTATTACTCGATAACATGTAAGCTTTGTGTTTAGAGTTGACGGAAGAAACTTGGATCAGGTGTCGCATTTTGTTTATCTGGGTGCCACCCTTAACCAAAAATGGGACTGCGATGAAGAAGTTAAAATACGAATTGGACAGGCTAAGACCATATTTATGAAGTTGAAATTTTTTTTGCTTGCCCGTACTTTCACAATGGAACTACGTCTTCGGGTTGACAAATGCTACGTGTGGCCCATCCTTCTAAATGGTGCAGAGACATGGTCAGTTAAAGTAAGGACCCTGAACCGTATAGAGGCTTTTGAAATGTGGACCCTTCGCAAGCTTATTCGCATTCCATGGACTGCCCGCAAAACCAACGAAGAGGTGTTGAGAATAGCTGGAGTTCAAAGAGAGCTGCTTGGAATTGTTAAGGCACGACAGATATCCTATCTTGGTCATATTATGAGAGGTGCGAGATATTCCATTCCAAAGTTGATCTTGCAAGGGAAGATAGAAGGTAAACGAGGCCCGGGTAGGGACTGGTGCGGAATAAGAGATGCCGCCACAATATTCCGCCAAGCAGAAGATGGCACCCTCCAAATGGCACAAGTATTGTTTGTCGATTTTTAACTGACACTTTCCGTATATGAGGAGTGAGGGGGTGTTCCATATGGCAAAAACAGCTGTGACGTCAGGTACCCATTGGCGTTCTAATGTAGGGAGCTCACATTCCATCCGAGTATCAGATGAAAATCGACGGACAATATACGACTAAGGATCGCCAACGTACGCGTTTGCACAGGGCACAAGAAGAAGAAGAAGAAGAAGTCTATCGGACTTGAAGAAAGTTTTCGTCAGAAATCGAAGTGCATAAACCTTAGAATTAAATCCAATGTCTTATTCTAAGAAAAAGAGAACCGCGAAAAACTCCAGGCGGTTCAAAATTGGCCTAGACTAGAGAACAAACATGAAGTCACAAGCTTTCTAGGACCTTGTTATCACTAGCACCGGTTTGTCCAGGATTTTGGCAACTTTGTGAAGCTGCTACATCAACTAACGAGAAAAACGCTGACTTTAATTGAATGCCAGAATGTCATCAGTCTTTCGTAGAGCCGAAAAACAAATACATCACTGCTAAAAAAAATTGCTCGAAGAAACTGGATGAGAACAGCTGTGGAGACGCAGGAATCAAAAAATTTAGAATATGCCTATACCTTCAGAAGTGTATGGGATATCGAAGCTTCGCAAAGTGGAATAGTGTCCCTGGATAAAACTGAGAGAAACTAATGTGAAACCCGAAAGAAGCTTCTAGTAGTGCTAAGATCCATGGAACATTACCTCAGTTTTCTCTATGGACGAAAGTTCCTCGTTAAAACCAGCGATCCTCCTTAGAGTGGCTGCTTAAGTGTAAGACCCTGCGTGGATTGGAGAAATTAAAACGTTGCGATTTTCAAGTCAAACATCGCTCGAAGATCACGCACTGACAACTATTCCAGGTTTCGCTAAAGACAAGATGGAAAGGAAGCTGGCATATATTCTGCTTGTGTTCGGTAAGGGCCGACTGTAACGAAGAGATTTCCCAGAAAGAATTGGAAAACGAACAAATTTTGACAAAGAATTTGACATTGTACGAGGCAGACTAGAAAATTAACAACAACCTGGATGGCAAGCAATTTTCCTTTTTGTTTGAACGGTGAAGGGATACTGGTTTCAATAAGATTTGTTGTGCTTCCTAGATGACGTAATCACCCATCTGAGAGAAGCCTAGTAGGTACATCAGACTGTTGTACTAGGGACCATAGTGCATAGAGTGCTACGTATACTGCGTAGCCAATTTAGACGTTAGCTCTAGTAAGAGGTCAGTACCTACCACTAGATAATTTTTCGTAAGAATGTTGATGAATGGTGCGAGAGATGTGACCTCTCTAGGTACCTCCAAAAAATTACTAAAGTCGCGATCTCGAAAAAAAATGAAGTAATACTTGTTTAGTTCCCCCTGAAAGAGAATTGCCATATATATTTCAGGTACTACTCTTACAACAAAGTCTGGATATAAGTACTTCATGGTGGCTATGAACTGATTATCGAAGTGGCCAGAAGTAGCTTCAGTCCCCGATCAAGAAACGACTGCTTTGGTAACGTTTTATTAGAATACAATATTATAGCCCGATATGAGGTAACTATGGAACTTTATACCGATCATGGGAATTTTTAGTTCGGAGTAATTTGGACACCTGATGAGGCTACTGAGGATAAGGGAAACTAAACTTAACTCAATTCTCACTACGACGGAACGATCGAGAGATACAATCGGAAAATCAATCAATACTCTCAATATACCAGGATGAACACCAGCGAGACTTATAGAAGACATGAGCATGAATCCACCGGGTATACAACATTATTTCTCATTATCTAGGACAGAGTGGTCGAAGATTTTGCGAGGAATAGACTGTGTCCGACCAGAGACAGAATGGAGATGAGACTCTGTAAAAGGTTCATTCAAGATTGCCAAGAAGATCGACGACTTTCATATCGCGACTTAACGCTGCAACCCAAACCAAAGGTTGTCCACGTCTTAACACTTCGAACGCAAAAAACCTGAATAGCATGGAATACCATAACGGTTACATTGTTTAAACAAATGTTTCCATCCATATCAATGTAAATTCTAGGTGATTTTGGAGGCGAAAAATATTGGGTAAATCGGAAATTATACCGTTGGATAGGCATTGAATAAGCAACGGTCAATTTAGTTTTCTCTACCTTACCGTCCAAAACTCGAGAAAAATGTGGAAAGCTTTACGATCGCTTTTCCACATGGGCCGAGACTTGGGCATTTCATGCCTTAAAGAATATAAAAACACATGAAATATTTGCCCATTGAGATGAAAAAAATATATATACAGAATGTAAAAATCTGTTTTTAATCTTTGAAAAAAATTAGTTAAGTACGTAATAAATCCACTATATCAATTGCGATGAGCATTATGTCTTAATTGAAACAATCCAAAATAAGTGACATAAAAGCCTCATATCGAATGGGTCTATTTGATATCATTCTTATGTTGGTGTTTTAAATTTTACTGTTACGCAGAATTCATTATTAGGTACCTATAGTTTTTCATACACTTCATTTTTCATCTGATGATTCTTGCGAAGAATTTTTTTCTTGATGAAATTAAGTTTACATACCTGCGGAACCATAGACATTCCCAAAACAAAATCTGCAGAAGCAAAGTGTGCTTAATTAATTAATATAATTTTAAGATTGCCCAAACCCACCCATAAATTGTCTTTGGTGTCCTACAACGTGTCCTAAGGGAGAAGTTATGGTTAAGAGCCCTTGCGGATGTTGCCATGATAAATGTGTCCCAATATATCCAGGTAAATAGCAAGCAATTATGGCGATATGAATTCATAATTTATTAAGTCTATTTATAGAAAATAGTATATTGTGTATTTAGGTGGAAAAGTGACACATTCTCGGCCAACGGTGTAAGTTGACGGACGAGGCGTAGCCGAGGCCGGCAAACACCGAAGGCCGAGAATGTGCTTTTCCATCGAAATACACATACTATTTTTTCTGCGATCAGTTAAATACCTGTTAAATGTTTGTCTTTTGGTCCCAATTATTCAGCAGTACGAGAATCACTTTTCCGGCCTAGGCCGGAAAAGTGTTTTGCGTATTGTTATTTATTGATTAGGCCGGAAAAGTGTTTTGCGTATTGTTATTCATTGATTCCTAAGCAACTATTGAAACATAATTAAAATACCAGAATATTGAGTTTTGCGACCTGTCAATCGGTCAAAAATGCTGACATTTCTTGTCAATCGCAGAAAAATATATTTTTTGAAAACCATAACTTTTTTGTAGAATAGTCAACATTAATATTGGTGTCATATTCAGGTATGGATGAGTAATTACATATATTGTGACCTCGGTTTAGCATTAAACCTACCTTAAAAAATATGTTTATCTGAAAACGCATAAATAGTAAAATACAAAGCGATGACGTTAATGAAATTAAGATTATTCTATCGGGGATTTCCAACGCGTTTTTTAGTATAAAATAACAATGAAATTAATTTTTAATCATTACAAACCAAACATGAAGCCGGTATTATTTGCTTGTTTCTTATTTTCAATGCTACCTTTTAATAATTTTTTATTTGTTGCTTCGCTAGAGAAATGTCCTGATCCGCCAATTGAATGTCTTTGGTGTCCAGAATGTACGGAAGGTTATACATTGGTTAAAAGTCCATGTGGATGTTGTCATGATCAATGTGTGAAGAACGAGAGTAAGTGAACTTTTATTTGAAAATAAGGAAAGTGTGTTAAAATTTATTATCATTTTTTAGTATTTGTTTCTCATGTATAAACATTTCTGTTTGTGTGTTTGTTCTTGTTTCAAGATATGATTTATGTAAGGCAAAATAACCTAAAAATATATTATTTGTGAAATAAAAGTTAATCACAGCTTGAAGGGTGTTGTTTTAATTGAATAACGGCGCAACAAAAACCCAAAAATGAAAGTTTTAGTGCAAAAAAATCTGAGAATAAATATTTAAACCGCATCTTGCTACGATGGTCTGTTCTCGAGTAAGGGCGGTTTAAACTTACAACTAGGTGTTTGTGGCGTCACACCAGGACGCGGATTCTGTACTCTATCGCTTTCTACATGTCGAATTCTAGTGTCGATTTCTAAATTCAATATAAGGGGAAATCGTGTAGAAAACGGTACACGGAATACGAAATATTGAACGCGAAATGTCTAGCCATAGAATTCGACAGTGCACGGAATCCGCGTCCAGATTATCAGGCACAGTATTAACATGTGTAAGAATTTTCCAAAACAAAAAACAATATCTCACTAGAGCGACTCGCAGTCACTCAAAGTATAGGGGTTCACTGACGACTGAACGAACAGAAGATTGCGATTTCTTAGATCTTAGATTTTTTTTCTTGATTTAGGTAGCCTAAGTCGTTTTTTGGGGTCACACCCCCTTTAAATTGTAAGCAAAAACAAACATAAAGAATTAATGTAATTTCATTTTTAAGGTTTATGGTTTATATCTTAACTTTTCTTAATGAATACTGAAAATTCCTTAGTGGAAGTGATATTATACTACACTTTTCTTGTCTTCATTGTTCAATTTTATAAATAATTATACAAACTAAATAATGAAAGAAATTTTCAACATTTACCAATTCTAATTCTAAAATTATGCATTTTTCAAAAATCTGTAGAATCAGAAAAATATTAAAATAAATCGATCTCTAATTTAGTATTATCAATAATATTGGTAAAATTTATCCTGAATTATTTTGGTGCCCCAATAATAATATCTTTCTCCTCCAATAGTGTGATAATAATTTTACAAGATTACATTATCGAGAGGCTGGCTAGTCGACGCCACTATTACGAGCGCGAATATCCAGGTTTCGTTCCTATTGTGTGATTTAAATAAACAAGAATTTACCTGAATTCTAGAGATTTCTCGATTCTATGGTTTTGTATAGTTACGGTTAATATGCAAACTTGGATAGTTTGTGAACTAGCTGGATATTTTACAAACTAACCAACCCACTGGCTATTTTGATAGAAAACGCAATTTCCACTAAAATAGCAGTTAATTTACTCGAAATCATTGAGAAAACTAAATTAGCTGGTTAGGTTTTAAACTATCTAATGCAGCCTGGCTAATATGAAAACCATAATTTCTAGTAACACACAATAGCCAAACCTTTGGCTAGTTTATAAACTAACCAACCAATTTTCTGGCTAATTTACAAATGAAGTTAGAGAACTAATGAAGAAGCGTTCAATTTTTCTTTGTGATTCATTTTATTAACAATAACTTTTCCTGCGAAATATAAAAACAAACTCGGCCAGGACAGCAAACAAAAAATAATAATATTCTGTACTCAAAACCCTACCTAACTTTATTTGTAAATCGGCCAGAAAATTGGTTGGTTAGTTTATAAACTAGCGAAACGTTTGGGCTATTTTGTGTTACTAGACATCATGGTTTTCAAATTAGCAAGGTTGCATTGGATAGTTCATAAACTAACCAGCTAATTTAGTTTTCTCAAGAATAACGCAAGATAATCTGTAGATTGATTTAATCTAATAAGGACTGATTTATTCATCTTCTGATAAACTGTCAGGTCGTGCAGGCTGACGGATGAAAACGCAATCTATAATCACCAGCTATGGTGAAATGTGAACTCTATCAATAATATTCCAGTTAATTTTTCTTGATTTATTTCTGGTTAAATACAAAAATTGAAGGAAGTCGGGACTTAAAATAATTTTTTGTGCAACCATCCGCAAAATGAGCTTTCGCGGCCGCCACACAGTCCGCGAAATTCAATTTCGCGGCCGTTGCCCTAGGTGACGGCCCCGAAACTATAAATCAAAATTTGACACTTTGACAACAACAATAAGTAAATTTTATTTCCAAATTCTTCAGAACAACATAAATTATTTAGGATAAATATTAACACTTACATGACAGTTTGCATTATTACTAATATTTACTCCTGAAGCTGAAGCAACTAATAATCCAGTGTTTTTGAATTGAACTCTCAAAACTTCCCATTTCGGCATTAAATTAGCCAATATGCTTTCAGACACCATTTTGACGTTTTGTTTGTCACACCAATTTTTTGAACTCGCAGTAACAATTTTCATATTGCCGCTTAGTTTTCCAGGTATTAACTCAGAAATAGCTGATTGAACCATATTTTTTAGCTCTGGAGGACTGCAAGAGAGTGAGTGAAACATCTGCATCGCTGTCGGATATTTTCACGATTTTTTGAGAACCGTCAAAATTTTTTGTGTATTTGTTTACTTGCAAAATATGTCATCCATGACATCCATGGAAACGCTGTGCCACCATAGCCACCAGGTTATACATCAAACTGGTAATTAGTTCCACATGTTTGTTGAAAGGAGTACATTTTTTCTATAATTCCACATAATTTTCATGGTGTTTTCATGGTTGCACAAAAAATAGTGTGTATACCATGACCGCGAAACTTTTTAGCGTCCTCGAGATTATCTTGCCTCGGCCGCAAGCGGCCTCGGCGATAACTTTTCTCTACGTACGCTAAAAGGCACTTCGCGGCCTTGGTATACAAATAACTATAAATAAATGGCACTACCTTTCGTCGCCTTTTTTCTTGGCGGTGTCGTTGCGTAGTTCTCCTTCCTCGTTTAGTTCTCATATTTGCCGTCAGGGCGCTGCTTCGGCAGCTGGAATTGGATCCGAGGTTGTCACGTCTTCCTCCACGTGTTCCTCCATACAAGATAACCACATTGTCAGATGCAGAACTGTTACTCGACCGAGTGACCTTTTACAAGGAGGAAGGTTTTCGTCCTCGAGAAGAACCAAAGCATCTAGTTTAATGCTTGTAGACATCTGCCTTCACTTGCCTTTTTGTTGTAGCTGGTTCAAGTAGCCTTTGGACCAGCGTTTCCAAAAATCCTGGTTTAATTTTTGAAGCAATTGAAACCGTGACAAACTGCTTGATTTTACTTCTTCCAGACTTGGAACAGGAATGGTCATGATTGGCCTCCCAATTAAAAAGTGAGATGGGGTAAGCGGTTGAGAATTGAGGATATAAGGGACGAGAATTGAGAATTGCTTCTGTCTGAGCAAGTACCGTAGAAAACACCGTACCGTACGATAATCATTCAGACTCACATAAATCTCTTTAGTTGACTTTGACAAAAGTTCAAACAAATTTGATAATTCCCTGTTTGCCCCCACAAAATTTGACCCATTTTCTGAATACAAATATGATGGTTTACCACGTCTGGCTGCAAATCGTCTAAATGTGGTAATGAATACCTTTGTAGGTACTTTATTCAGTTACAAGTTCGAGGTGTACTGCCTTCGCACAAAAACAAATATATGCTTTGAACTTCTTAGCACCTCGACCATTGCGATCTTTCAACCTAAATGGACCAGCGTAATCTACACCTGTAATTTTTAATGGAGCAGAAACTGTGACCCGACTACTTGATAAATCTGACATAACGGCATCACAGTTTTGGGGTTCAGCCTTAAAACAAGCTACACACTTACGAACTACTGATTTTGCGACATTCGTGCCATTAGTAGGCCAATATCCTTCCCTAACATAATACAATAATAGTTGTGGTCCTGCATGCTGTAATTCAATATGCTCATGTTCAAAAATTATTTTGCTTAAATGATGCCTCCCATTCAACAATAATGGATGTTTCCTATTATAGCTTATCGGCGCATGCTTCAATCGACCACTTACTCTTAAAAGCCCTTCGTGATCAATAAATGGAGTTAATGCTTCAAGTCTATGTTTGGGTTTTAAAGCCCTTAGATAACAGAATTTATTCAAGGCTGAATGATTCAATTTGAGCTATTTTATCAATAAACAAAGAGCATATTCCAGCTCTTTAGGTGACAAAGGACCTGTCAACCTTTTATCCGTTCCAGTGACACGTAACTTACTGTTATATATGAAACGGCAACAGTATGACTGGACTCTCAATTATTTTTTTAATGTAGAAAAACATTCTAATAATAAATAAGGTTCAATTTCATTGACCATCAAATCACACGTATTTTCAATCAAATCTGGTACTTTCTATTTATTAGAAAATACCATCTCTTCGGGCCAACTATTCTCGTTTCTCAAGAAGGCTGGGCCCTGCCACCACATTTTGGATGCAATTGAATCCTTAGGAGAAATACCACGCGTGGCAATATCCGCAGGATTTTCTTTTATATTTACATACCTCCAGGTTTCCAGAATTGTTAACTTTCTTATCTCTGATATTCTGTTACGACCAAAAGCTTGTAATTAATCAAGGGGTGTATGTAACCAATGCAGCACAATCTGAGAATCGCACCATAAATACTCAATGTCATTTGGCTGTAAAGCCCCGAACTATTTTGGATAATCGCGCCAACAAAAAAGCTCCACACAATTCAAGCTGCGATATTGTATGATTTTCTCCTGGACTTTTTATTGGCGCAACCTTTGTTTTTGAACATAATAAATGAACACTAGGTTCACCCCCATTATCGATACTACGCACATAAATAACAGCACTATATGCCTTTTAGGAAGAATCAGTAAAACCATGGATCTCAGTAATTGAATTGTCTGACGATCTGAAAATATATCTAGGAATCTTCAATGAATTAAACAAAACCAAATTTTCACGAAATTGATTCCAGGAAATTTCCAAATCTTTTGGAATCTTATCATCCCAGTCCAATTTAAGGGTCCATAACTCGTGAATCAA